TTCCTTTGCCACCAGAATTCTCATTTGGTTGAAATCTGTTCAGTTGGTTTTTGTAATTTTTATCAGTTGTGTTTGCAGGATAAGCTCTATGTGTTCCATCTTCTTGTGCTCGATTATGCCTACCGTAAGAAGCATCATAAATTTGTCTATTCCTGACATCAGTCTCATAGTGATTATAATTCCTGCCACTGAAATGTTTTCCTTGTTGATCTTGTGGAGCTTTATAATAATTACTATTCATAATGTTCGTTCCTTCTGTACGTATTTGTACATTAGAATTTCGAGTATCATTTAATTGAGATTTTTGATAAGTTTTATGTAAAGAATCTTGTTGTGTATAACTATGATTATCTTGATTTCTTTGAAATCTCGGTGGTCGATTTTGTTGAGAATGATTTCCTCCATTATATTGTGAGTATTGAGTTGTAGGATTATTAAAATTTGATTTTTTACTATTTTTATTTTCTTCTAGTCTTGGAGGAATTTGATATCCACGATTTCCTTTTTGAGATCTACAAAAAAAATTTTTATTTTAATACATATTATAATTATAATTGTAAAAAATTTTAGTAAGAATAAAATTTACCTTCCACTTTTCCCACTTTGTGATTCGTTATTTTTAAGTTCAATTTTTTCATAATTATTTTCTGTATTTTGAGTGTAATTATTTTGGGATAGATTGCTTGATTCCGTAGATTCAGATTGTAAAGGTAATTTATCTTCAAGAAAATCAAAAAGAGAGATTTTTCCGCTACTTGGTTTACCTTCTTCGGTTTTTTTATCGAATCGTTTATTTCGAGGTTCACGCGATTCTCGTGATTCTTTAAATGTACTGAAATAATAGAAATAAAATCGATAATCAAAAAATCACATTTAAGTCATATATTAATTTAATATTGAAATAAAAGAAAATAGATATACTTATGCTTATTATCTGCTTTCTGTAAACTTTTTAAAGCTTTATCAACATTATTTCGATTAACTTTTAAGGCATATTCTGCTTGATCTATAGAAAAGCCTTGATCTACAATTTTTTGTACACTATGATCTAAGAGCTGTAAAATAATTATGTTAGAATAAAATTCTTTTAAATTTAAATAATATAATAGATAATTAATAGAATAGATACTTGTTTATTTCCTCCTCCAAAAACTTTTTTACTGCCTTGTTTAGAAGCTTCTGCTATAGCATCTTTACGTTGAGCTTCAAATTCAGCATTCTCTTTACTAGATTTTTCTTTTTCTGCTAAAGCTTTAAAATTTTTGTCTTGTTCAGAGACTTTTATAATTTTTTTTCCAAATGGTATCCATGGTGGTGGACCACCTTCTTCTGCAGACCTCATTCTTATATGTAATGCTAATTTCTATTACAAAGAATATGTTTCTTAGTCCTATACATACTAGAATGAAATGATATACATACTTTGTTCAATTCCCATTTTTCTACAAGATTTGTTACTTTTCCTCCAAGTACTTGTGTTATATTTGAAGGTCTTAATAAAATAATTCCATGAGAAATTGGTAGATTTCCGCAACCAATTAATATTTTTGTACCAGGAGGTGTATTTAAACTATAAATATATAAATTCATAATATAAATTGCTTATGAAAACTGGAATATAGGGATAATTATTATTTATATGTAATTAGTCAAATTTTGAGATACCTTAAAAATGAAATATGTTCAATTTCTATAGCTTGAAAATTATTTTTACCATCTGTTAAAAAGAATTTTAATAAACGTGGAGCTGCACGAGACTCTTCATTATTTTTAGGAGCAGCTACATTACGTATTTTTTGTATTTGTAATACAATATTACCCTGAATTATATCTCCTTGACCACTACCAACCTCTCTTAAATCAAGCTATATAAATAAAAAAAATTAAAATATAAAAATATCATTTTTCTTTTAAAGAAAAAATTATAAAATGCTAATCTTACATCCAATAATCGTTTAATAATTTTTTGTATGTCAATAACACTTCCAGAATCACTTGCACTATTGTAACCATGATCTGTAATATACCTAATTCAAACATTTATAAATATTTATATGTTCAAATTTAAAATAATATTTGTTTTTAAAAGACATTTATAAGTGTGACGAAATACATCGGTTTGTATACGCACCACCCCTTATCTTTTAATTTTTCCATAATATGCAACGTCATTTTGTTCTCGAACGAGATTTTTCAGAATGACCGTTCTGATTTAGCAACCTTTTTGGATAAAATTTTATGCACGTTACATGCGTACATTCAAGTTGTACATAAACATGTGTCAGCTGACGTGTAAACCAATAGAAAATAGATCATAAAAGTATCAACAATTTCAAAATCGAAATCAGCTGTTTTTATAGATATTTAAAATCGTTTATTATGCGCTACAATGTCACTTTGCCTGTCCAAATAACGAACAAAAGGAACCGCGCCTATTAAACCTTGAATTCTTTGCCACCATCTTGACGATTTGGTGTACTGTGATTTTAAGATCGATATATCGCTACTGTGTATGTAATAGACTAGATATCGATATATCGTTCATTATTTGAATACAATAATATTACAAGTATATTTTAAAAAAATAAATTATTTTGTAACATTTTATTTTATTAGATACGATATTTTATTACATTCTTAAATCCTTAATATGTATCAAAGGATTGTGAATATTCGTTTACTTATATTTTATTTATAGATTGATAAATAAGAGTAATACATTAATTTTATTTATTTATCTATAAAAAATATCAAACACTAAAATAATTTATAGGTTTTAAATCGCAATATAATAGTATATTATGGGATAAAATAATTAATTTTTATATCATAAAATAATTATATTTAAATAGAATAGAATGAAAATATTATAACATTTGTATATATAAAAATCTTAAAAGAAATTTATTAAAAGAAGTCAAGTATTAAGATAAATATATAATATTGGTTAATGTATCATTATTTACAAAAATTACATATGAATTATATAGAATTATGTAGAATATAAATATAAAAAAAAATAGATTCAACCATATATTTAATTTAGTGATATAAACTTTAAATAATCTAATAAATAATTTAATATATTAGATTTATTTTCTATTATATTATATTATATTATATTATATATTTATTCTATTATATTATATATTTATATTATATATTATATTTTTATATTATATATATTATTTCTATTATATTATATATTTTCTATTAATGTATATTAAATATTATTATAATGTATTATATTGTATATATTATAATGTATTATAATGTATATTAAATATTATATTGTAATATTAAATAATAATCAATAATCTAAATATTTATTCAAAATTTTATTTTATTTTATATAAGTTTGTAAAATATGTTATGTGATTTGTAAATAATGACTAGTGAATTTTATTACTTATTAAGTTTATTATCACTTATAACCCTTATGGTAGCAAAAAATAAGAAAGATCTCAACTGCTGATCGGTTCAATTTGAGTTGATGATTATTACTCGGGTGGAGCCATCGTTTGAACAAACGATGAAATTAGATCAGGCAAGAACTAACTTTGGAGATGACAAAATGCTATAGATGAAGAATATGTCCTACCCATATTGCCAATATACCAATAATTTTGCAAGAATAGGATCTTTACAACCATAATTGTCATAAATTATTCATTCAATTTTTTTATAACAAATATTGACTAAAGATAAATTATTCTTTATAAGTTTTATTTAAACTTAAATCATTCTAAATCATTCCATTTTTTTAGATTTTTAAATCCATCAAAAATGTAACGATTATATATAAAAATATTCTTTTAAAAATATTTTATATTTTAATTATATTGCACAAACACGAAAAATATTATTTTTGCATTATTAAATTATGTTTATCAAGTAAAAAATAATTAGAATGCTAAAATGCATAAAACTAAATATAAATATAATTTTTTGCGAAATGAATTTATCATTAGTAATCTTTGTAATATATCAAATTAATTATTCGTATTACTTAAAATTCCAAATATAAGTCATTATTTGCTATGTTATATTCTATACTAATTGGTATATTTC